TGAAAGTTATCTCTAACTTGGCCAAAAAAAATAAGCTCCATTTCTCATATCCGGCACAAATACTTTTCCCCAACTCAAGTCGATGGTTTATTTGTAAACCTGCAATTTGCATACCTTGCAATTTGACACCCAAAAAAGTAGTAGTAAAATGGCCCAAGGCCACCATAGAATTGTGCTTCCTACTGTCAGCTGAAAACTTGGCAGACAAGTAGAGCGCAAGGAGGAAAGTATAAAGTAAGACAAGGATATTGAAAGGACGAGACAACTGAAAGTGAAGTGAAAACAGAAAGAAAGCAGCCGAAAGCAGCCGAAAGCAGCCAAAGCAGATATGGCGTTGACACTCAGAAAAAAAGTCGAAATAATATATATTTTGAAAAAAAAAAGTAGTTTATAAATCTGTGTATTGAAATGAGTTTGCATATGTGTGGGTTTACTTCGAACTGCAAACAAATGTTAGCGCGCCGCAGGCGGAATTTCAACTTAGCCGCCGCTCCATGCGCACTTCTTCAGCTGGTGAGCGGTGGTGAGTACTGAGCAGTGACTAGGACATTGGCATTGATGTATTTGCTCGCCTTTGGTTGTTTCTTTATGCTCTCGCACAAACAACTGCCGTCTAAATGAAAAGTACTTTTTGTTATTTTAGGCAAGTTGCCAATAAATTTTAGATTCCTCACAAAAATTCAGCAAAGTTGCTATTTGTGCTCGTACCTACGAGCTCGGGAGTAAACTACACGCTTTCGAGCGCCTGAAAGCACACCTTGCGTAAAGTTTTCAACTTAGAAAAATAAATATTTTTTTATCAAGCAGTTTTTTGCCTCACGCCTTTTAACACTTTTCCAATTTTCACAAACTTTTCCTCTTTTTTTTGGCCAAAATATTCTTTACACTTCTGCGCGGTTAGTCAGCTTCTTTCCGCACTGTGATTTCCTTCTTCGAAAAAAAAACGCAAAAATAAACTTTTAACAACTTAATTTTCATTCAGCTCGCCTTTCGTGTCGCTCACCGCACACTTTGTCGCTTGATATGCTTCAGCTAACTGAAAATGTTATTATGGCTAACTTTGTATGGGTGTATATACATACGTGTATATGCATATGTGTGTACTTTAATATATCTAGATGTGTCCAAAACTTTCAACAGCTGTATTCGATACGCACATAATTCTTTACAGTTCAATTTTATTTTGTAAACTTTATTCATCGCTGGCACCTGACGCCACGTTGCAGCGCCGGAGGCTTTTTATTGCCACAAATGTGTGGTGAGAAGCGCACCCTTGGCGCTTAGTTATGCAGTATTGTAATTCAAAATGCTATTTTGGCAAATGGGCATATAATGTGAGTGCTCAGTTTTACGTGTAAAGTGGAGAAGAAAAATCTGAAATTTTGAAAAATTTTTACATTCTGATAAAACTTTCTAAATTTTGGTAAATAGAGAATTTTAAGCTTGACCACTGCTATTGACTTTCATTTAAGTTTTATAATTGTAATGAAAAATTTACCTATTTATTTTTTGTTCTACACACCACCGAAAACTTTTTTTCAAAATGTGTAATTTTTTTTTTTAATTTTTGTGATCTGGAATTGTGAAGAAAATATTCATATTAAAGCTCACTTATTTATATTTATTTCCGCATTTATAAAATATTTCCAAGCAAAATTTTGAAAATAATAAAAAAAGCAGAAAAAAAGGATTCTAAAATGATTTTCTCTGCAAGAAATTGGGGTTTCCATTTTTGTACGATTCTCTCTACAGTTAAGTTCATCTCTTTAAACGAAATTGTTTCTTTTTGCTCTTTTCTATGTATTTTAGCATTATCCTCGTTTGCCTAATTCATCTTGTTCTGCTTTCCGCCTTCATCGAATCCTTCCCTTCGCTTATCAATTAAAAAAAATTTACTTTTTTTGTTATGCGCTTTTGTAATGCGATTTCTCCAAGAGATAACAATTGGCTGGTACCTAATTAACTGTTATATGCTGCATTAATAATTCAAAAAATCTCACTATGAGCTAGAGCAACGCAGCCAAGCAGCAGGCTGCCACTCGGTCCAGCGTTGTTGGACTTTACTAAGCATTAATGCAGTTACAGTTATTTTGGCCCTAATTAATCAATTACTTAACTTTGTTGAGACAGAATGGAGTAGGAGAAGAAGAAAAGGAAATTTATTACAAAAATATATGAGAAAAGTGAAAAAATGTAATGAATGAGGGCCAAGAAGAAGTCTCAGTGACGGAAAGCTACGAATAGCTAAGCTGCTTTGGGGGCTTACAGCATTCGCTGTAAAGCAAAAAATATTTGTATACTAGTCGACAAGTAAGAAAAATGGCATAACTCAACCGAAGCTAACAAAAAAAAAATTTTTAAATTTTGCATAAGTCTTAGGTTAAAAACTTTTCCCTGCAAAATGACCGAAAGATTATTTGTTCATGGAATATTTTTTCAGGTTTTGTTGAAAGTAACTGTGTCGATAGTAAATACTAAAAAGCATAAGTAAGCAGTAAAAAAAACTAAAAGTTAACAAAATATTTTTGTAATATCAGAAAAAACTAGTTAATTAAAAAGAATTTAAAAAAATTTAAAAAATTAAAACAATTACAAAGTATCGAATGATAATAAAAGAAAAAAAACGCATATAGAAGTAAAGAAATTTACAAAGAAAAGCAATTTTTTAAGTCTAAAAACTGTGAGACGCCCAAAACATTACATTCACCTATACTTATACACCTTTATTCACTTCGCTCCTGTTATGTCCGCCTCTTACTTTAAACTCACATCTTTTTGCTCAATTAACTCCATCCACCCTCACTTGCTTTCAAAACAATTAGGTCTTATTATTGTTATTAGAACTTTCTCCGTACTTTGCTCTCTCCTCCTCCAGCTGGTCTAAAACTTTTCTACAAAACAAGACATTTGTTTTTATAATTCTTGTATTGTTTTGCTTTTGTTCTTGTTGTTGCTAAAAGTTTTATTTTGATTTCCCATTCGAATCAAATAACATGGCAAAAAGTTACTCATACGTCATGTAGCACCAACAAAATGTTTCCTATTCATACATACGTATAAACATACATTTATGGGTGTTTGTAACAGACACAAGCTTTCTAAATTAGACACAATTGTTTATTTTATTGTTGTTTTTCCTAGATACATATTTTTGATTATTTACCCGTGTTTTTTGTACTCTCTTTGAGTGTAACAAATAATAATTTATAATTTTGCCTGAAATATTGTACGTAAAAAAAATGAAAATAATACAAAGAAAATTTTAAATAAATAATAAAGCAAAATTAAAGCTGAAACAAACAAAGATAATGGAAAAATAAATACAAATTAATATAAAAAAAAAATACAAATAACATTACAATTACAGAGAGCAATAAAAATAAAAGCAAAAGTAGAAATAACCAACAAAAGTATAACTGAAATTATCAATAAAAACAAAAATTAAAATTAAATAAAAAGGAAATCAAACTAAAAATAATAACAAAAATTAAACATAATTAAGAGCAAAGCAAATGAAAAAACATAGAAATTAGTAAAGAAAATAAATAGACAACGAGATATATTTTTTGGAAATTCAGAACAGATTCGGAATTGTTGCCAAACATTAATTAAAATAAATACTTTATGTACTAGCATATGTTTATATGTATACTTGTGTACGATAAATTACATTCTTTAACAATTTTCGAAACAAAACACGTACGCACACAATCCCAGCGCCGCCGAAAATCGGCATTCCTAAGCGAAATTATAATTAAAAGATCAAACAAGAAAAAGTAAAGAAAAGTTCAACCAAGAGAAATTCAAATAAAATGAACTTTATTCATAATAACAAAAACTTGATTCTTCCACAAAATTACAAACACATACAAACATGCACGGCAACAGCGCCACACCGATTAAGTAGTTGTTTATGGCAATCCAAAAGGCAATAAAAAAAAAAAACAAAAAAATCTTACGAAAAATCAGAAAAAATTATTCTTCTTCCACCACCCACCTCTTCCTTCGTCAACATAAATACGGGTCTACTCACCTCGTGCGTATGAGCAATGGGTATAGAAAGCGCCGTTATGTTTGCACATATGCATACTTATTGCTACATTATGATGATTATTATTATCCTTGGAGATTATTAGTATTATCTGATGAGCTTTATGTGGACTTTGAAATTGCTTTTAAGTTGAGTGAAGGCGAGATTTTATTTACTTCTCCAACTGCTGCAACAACAACAATTCATCATTTCCCTTCCAACTGACCACCACACATGTCCTCATATTTTGCCACTCAATCAACCACTCACTCTCCTCACTCAGATGAAGCAACTCCTGCCCCTGTCTCTCTCTCTCTTACTCACTCTCCCTCTCTCTTATATTTTTCTCACAACATATTCAAGCGCTTTGTTAATGTTATTGTTATTGCTATTGTTTGTTGTCTTTGGAGATTTATGCTTTATTGATATTTTATTAAATGTTCAAATATGTGGAATAATATTGTGTGTGCGTGTGTGTGTGTGTGTGTCTGTGTGTGTGCAGAGCTGTATGGGTGGGCCATTATACTTATGTGGAATTTGGGCTAACTTTCTGTGGCATTACAGTTATTTCGCCTTTGTGCGCATTCTCAACAAGAAATATATACGGTTATATCAGCCTTCCACTGAGTTGAGCTGACAAAGGAGCATCAAAGAAATGCCGAAATAATTGCGTAATGAAATATAGATTTTAGTATAGTATATTTAATTTTCTTTAAGAAATATTGGAAAAGGTATTTCGATAGAAAAATGTGCGATTGTTTTTTAAATGTCTGTCCGTCTCAAAAGATTAAGGCAATAAAAATGTTTTTCCGTAATAGAAAACATTGAAAATTTTTGGAAATTAAAAATGCTGAAAATAACTTTTTTTTAATATTTTATAATTTACAATATTAAATTTAAATTTATTTAATATAATAGATATTATTTAATGTTTCCGATATTTTTTCTTCTTTTTTTCTTCTTCTTCCAGAACCATCGCCGTTATACGACAACAATCATTATCACGAGGAATGTCTGCGTTGCAATTCGTGCGGCTTAAATTTGACAGGACCAAATCAAAAGCGCGCCAGACGGTTCAAGGTGAGTACGGAAAAATGCCCAAAACCTTAAAAGACAAAAAAGTTTAGATATTCAAAAACAGAGGGGAAAAAATTATTTTCGAAAGTTGGTACCAAGCAAAGGTTAGCGCTTAAGTTTAGCACAATTTCATTTAATAATTGTTTGAAAATAATTTCAAAATATTTTTAATTAATTTAATCTACTAATTTGGTGTAAATTTCAACAAAAACAATTTTTGTACATTTTTTTCTAATAATTTTATAAATTTTGATGAATCAGGCATCAGCACATATCTTAGAGACCAAATGTGGATTCCCTATTCCGTGGCTAAAATAATTTGCTAAAAATTATTGGAAAACGTATTGTGCTAAAAATTTAGTATACAAACTTAATTATAAAAATTTGTTATTAAAAGTCAAGCTTGAAAACTTTTACCTATTAAAACAAAGATTTAATTTAGCTAACTATTTTTCATTAAAAATGTTTAAAAATTTTAAGTTCACTACTAAATTTTTAGTACCAACTAATTTTAGTACATAACATGCTTCAAAAACATTTTAAAAAGTACTTCATTTTTACTAACCAAATACTACTAAAATGATAAAAATATTTTTAGTACCAAATTTTAGTACCGCATTGTGCTGAAAATTATATAAGCGCTAGAACTAATATTTAGTACAGGATTTTTGGTACTAAAAATTATGCAAATGTTAAAACTCAAATTTAGTTTTAAGGATTTCTTTTGAAATCAACAAGACAATACGATTTATTAATTTAATAGTTTGCTACTAAATGTTTAAGCGGCTGAATTCAGTATGAAACATTTCTTAAATATAAAAATATTTACATACCTACATATGGATATTCGATGCACAGAAGCATTTCCATATAAATATTTCTGACATTAAGACCATTGAAATATTCATACAATCCAGTCGAAACTCCGATTGGCCACAAATCACTTAATACCAAAGCACGCGCGCAAAGTTACCCTCCCTCCCACATAGAGACACACACGCACACATATGCGTTGCACAAAACGACATTGGCAGCTGCGCACACAAAACACAAGCCGCAAACGAAACTTGTTACCCGAAAAACTATTTGCAACTACTTACTCGCTACACACACACACACACGCACACGCGAAGCGAGAGTAAAGCATCGAAAGCGACGTGCAGACATGCAGAGCGAAAGTTTCGGCAAGAATGGCTTGAATGGCTTGAAAGCCGCTGCAATCCTTTTTCACGCGCTTATTCACTTATTCACACTCGAAAAGTACTCGTTTCGCCATTTTCTAAGCCAAGTAAGCGCTCCACTGGCACGTGCACAACTCGCTTGCCATTCCAGCGAAGAGCAGAGCACAGAGAGCGTAGCGGGGCGAGGGAAGTGCAGCAAAGAAACATAGAAGAAATCTCAACCAAATTTCAGCGTACAAGTAAATACACATATGAGTCTGTGGCGGGGTAAGCGAGAAGTGGATTTACAAGCATTTTGGCTGGTTTGAGCTGCCACACTTGAATAAATAAATGGCAAAGCCGCATAAAAGTTTTCGACACGAACGGAACGGAACATCTCACTTGCGCTGACTGACTGGAACACACACACGACGTGCTGGTGGCAAAAGTTTAAAACAATTTTTGGATTATGTTTTGCGTTTTTTCTACTACTTTTTCATTTGTATACTCACTTATGCAGACACACACGTACGCCCCAGACCGTCAGGCGTAAGCGGCATATTCACCATTTAGACACAATTCGGTGTGCTTTTGTTTTGTTTTTACTTGCAAATTAGAAAAATAATGGTAAAATGTTACTTAAGTGAATTAGAAGTTGCATTCAGCGCTAAAGTCGTGTGCGAATAAGAAAAAATGTGCATATCAAGCAAAATAAGAAAAACACAGGAAATTCGTATATCAATTCAAATGCATTTTGAAATTTTAGATTTTTTGCACATGAAAAATTAAATATTTTTGTACTAAATTTTAGCAAAAATGAAAAAGAAAACTTGTGAGTTTTAAGTTACATTATTATTTAATTATTTTATACTTTAAAAATCACTATTACTATGAAAGCACTAAAGCCAAATTTGTGACTTAAATAGTAAACTTTACTTGCAAATATTTTTGATTTTCTATTTTGTTAAAAAATTATTTTTTTAGTAAAAAAATGTTATTTAGAACTAAAAAATTTTAAGTACTAAAAATTTAGTTCTAAAACATTTTGTACTAAAAAATTTATGCTAAATTCCTCTGTAATGAACAGTAAACATTTCAAATTTAAATTTATGCGTTAAAAACGTCTGATCTACGGACTGCGAACAGAAATTTTGTACTAAAAATTACGTACTAAAAATGCTGTACTAAATAACTTTGTGTTAAAATTAGTTTTAAATAGCACTATAACCAAGTTTTAGTTCGATGAACTTTTTTATATAAACAAAAATTTTGTACTAAAAATTAAAAAATAAATATAAAAAAAAATTTTATTGAAAAACATCCAAAGATGTTATTTAAAAAATCTGTAAAAGCAGAAAAAACTCCTACAGCTCTCTTTTAACACAACATCACTTTTTTTCCCACTCCTTTTTTGTTGTGTTTCAGAACCACATTCTCTGCGACCTGCACTTCGCAGACGTTGCCCTAATGGAGTGTTCCGATTTTATGCAACAGCTGAGAAGCTTCAAGCCACAATCACTCGGTTGCGCCGTTGCGAGACGAAAAAGTTCAACAACGTTAATTTTCCCGTTGCCGCCGCAGGCTTGTTCAGGTATGTAAGGAATAAGTGTGTGTGTGTATGTATTTAATTTAGACCAAATTTATATATGTTTGTGTATGTGTGCTGCAAAGCGTCTTACTCGCCAAATTTTGCTCCGAAAAATGGTTTTTAAATTAAAATCTTAGACAAACGCAGTCCTTTGCACGCTCGAAGGCAGGGGCGAAAGCAATTTGCAACGCAGCAGGTTGGAGGGTTCCTTGGGAAAAAATTACATATATAAAAAATTTATGAAAGAAATTAAAAAAATGCGCCAGACATGTTGTGGCGAGCAAAAAGAAAAAAGAAACACAAAAGTAAATATTAAAAACAAATTTATGAATTAAAAACTGGAAGGAAAAATATTTCTTTCTGCGATGACTTGGAATACCAGTTATGCGGGGAATTTACAGCAACAAAGTCGTAACTGTTTTCTTTTGCATAAATCGCAGTGTGCGCTTTATGAACTCGTAAATATGGAAAACGGGCTTTGCCGGCAAAATGTCGTTTCTTCGCTGCTGTTTTGTGTTAAAGGCGGCAGCAACATCTAAATTTAAATTTTTAATACAATTTTAAGAAAAAAAATTGTGTACAAATATTTTCGAAAATAAATTGTGTATTAAAACTTTTGAAAAATTTCTTATATTAAAATTAAATTAAAAAAATTATTCGCCCATTAAAAAGAGATGTGAACTTAAAATTTCTCTACTCAATAAAAATAAATTCTGCAATAAAAATCTGGTCTCCAAAATTTTCGGTTGAAGTAATTTTATACTAAAGAAATATAATAGGGAAGACTATGCAGAATATTTTTTGAATAGAAGACAGTGCTCTGAAATTGTGCTCTACAAAATCTTGTATTAATTATTTTGTACTAAAATTTTGTATAAAAAAATTATGTGGTAAAAATTTCTGAGTTCCAGACTGTGAGAAATTGAGTACTAAATATTATTATTAAATTATTCCGCACAAAAAATCCCATAAAAACTTAGCGCTAAGATTGAGTTGAAAATAACTGAGCTACGCATTGTGTGTACTAAAATATATTTTATTAAAAATTAGTACTAAAAACTCCTTAACAAATCAAAAAAATAACAATTCATCTCTGAAAGTTATGTGGGAAAAATGTCTCAACTATGGACTATGTCAAATATTGTGTACTAAAATTTTGTACTAAATATATCTAAACAAAGCAATACCAGTTTAGCCCTGCAAACATCGTAGAAATGTATACCATTCATAAATTTCGTACTAAAACAATTTGCACCAAAAATTGGTGCTTCGTATTTTGTACTAAAACATAAAAATCTCATACATAAATCATTTATACTTCTAATTGTGGAGAAAAAGTATCAAAACCATGGACAGTTTGAAGAAAAAACGAATTAAAGGTTTCAAAACGAATTTTTGTACTAAATAATTCTAAACTGAAATAAGTTTAGTACCAAGAAAACATAGTGTGCATTTATTTAATTTAATTCTTTTATGCATTTTTTCCTTATGCTGGCAATTCACGCTGCCTAGGAAGACTTGAAAAAAAAATATTTTCAAGCGATTTTGTATTTCTATTATTAATTTTTTTCTTTTTGTTTGCTTTGTCTGGCTTTTCCGTTGCACTTATTGGCTGGCATTAGCTCGCTCTGATTCACACCCTACATTTTCAGACTGTTCTACTTGCCCCAATCCATTATTTTTCATATTTTTTTATATTGTTTCATTTTTATTTTTCCACTTGCGGCGAAGTCAAGCGGCCAGCTTTACGGCGACTGCTTTTTTAGAGAACACAAACGGTTACATAAAACGAGACATAAATGCAAATTATAATAGTGTAGGTGTAAGGATTGTATTTATATAAAAGGAGAGAAATCGAATTTAAATTTTTAAGCTATAAAAACTAATTCAAATTCAAATTAGAATTATTTCAAATTTATTGAATTTTTGTTGTTTGATCAATATTTAAATATTTTTATCAAAAGGTTTATTTGAAAATATAAAAATATTTATACATTTTTTAAAAAACAAATATTTTTAAAACAGCTCATTAACAAATGACAACGAAACTTTCTTCAATTTGAAATTAATTTTTATTTTTCAAATTGGAAAATCACTTAGAGCACCAAAAAATTGTGTGGATAATAATTTTCGAAAAAAAGAAAGCTTATTAAAATGCAAAAAAAATGTTATGAATTGTTTTAATTCTAAAACAAATATAAATATTACAGTTTTATATGAAAAACCTTTTAAAATTACCTTAAACAGTGATACAATAAAATGTAGATGAAAAAAATTTTTTTGTAAATCAACTGTAAATATTTTCATAAAAAGATATTAGCATTGAAAATAACTTCCCCGTTCTTAAAGACCTCCCAACATAACTGTTGTATGGCGCGTGGGCACCGCAACACGCCTTTCATAACAGCAGTATCCATGCGCTCACATGCGGCTCACGTACACCCTGACGTATGAGCAACATTTTGACGCATTTCATGAGATATCCGCAAGACAAAAGCAAAATAAGCATAGAGGAGCAGAAATAGCGCACAAAATGCCATTCAGAAATAAAATTTACAACATTTACGTGCCTTTATACCCGCGCTGAGCATTGTAACGGCCAAACGCGCCAAGGCCGTCATGACGTATGAGCAATATTTTATGCTAAATTGACGTCTATTACCTTAAATCAACTGCAAATTGCAGAAAACATAGGTAAAGGGAATATCAAACTAGTGACGGCATCAATTATGAAAGCAATGAAAGCAACAGCAACATTGTCTGCCCTCAGGCGCAGCAGCAACAACAGAATGTGAGGGAGTGTACTTTACGTCAAAGTGAAAACAATGCAACGGTAAATAGAAGTATTTTATGCAACACGTTAACGAATTAAAAATAGCACAACAGACCAACAGATACAAGCCCCACACTAGTGGGAGAGAAATGAGAAAGCGAAAAAAGTAGGAAAAAACCAAAAAAAAAAAAAAATGTACGAAAATAAATGAGACACACTGTATCCTGTTATTTTATATATGTACACATGATCATTTATTTAGATGGAAAACATGTTAACTACGCGACATTTGCAACATAATGAGCTCTAATGCATTTAACCACACACAGATGCACACATCTGCACATACATACCAAACGGCACACATTTCCACCGTACAACAAGAAAATGTCACGCTGCCAAGCAGGCAACTGCATTTTATATTAATGTTTGCTGTCTCTACACACACACGCGCACACGCCCACACGCACACAGGCAAACAATTTTATTTTTACATGAAAATGCGCTAATGTCGTTGCTTCTGCTACTAATGTGCCGTTAGTTGGCAGTGTAATTGTGCGCAAGCGAGCGTAAAAAATGGTATGAGAGTTGAAAAATGAGAAAGGACAGTTCACTGCATACGAGGAGTTCAAAGGAAAAACTATGAAATAAACAAGAAGAGAAAAATAAACGAAAAGCAAATAAGGAGTATAACTATATTGCTTACTTAGAGGGCAATAAATAGAACTACGTTACTTTACACATGCCATTCCATAAGCAAATAGTTATGGAATATGCAGATAGTAGCAAAGCCCTTGGATAGTGAATCTTTGATAGTGCTGAGAGTTGCTTGTCATACAATTGTATTAGCTGCCGTTTTGCGTTTTTTATTTTGAATACAATAGTTGTTTAAAAAAAATTAGTAGTAGAAATAGTACCTTTTTTGGGCAGCAAAAATTAAACCTTCGTTGAAATTTTAAATCTATTTTCGTGCTTCTGTAAACATTTAACACACAAAAATTATTAAAAATTTAGTAGCAGAAATACTACTATTTTTCCTGATAGCGAAATTCAATTTTTACTACAGTTTTACATTCAAAAATATTGTGCGTGGTGATATGAAAAAACTTCGTAGTAGAAATGCCTACTTTTCTTGGAAAAAGAATTTATTTTACATTCAAAGAAATGAGTTTTGTAAGTTTTTCCAATAATTGATATAAAATATATTAGATATCTTAATTTTTTTGCGAAATAAAATTTCTACCTTCTTCATTTTAATACTTGCCCTTTCTAAATGATCTAATGACCCAACCTCACTGAAAATGCCCAACACATAAACACCAGATGTAAAATAGCGCTTCTTCTTCTACTTTCATTTATTTGCCTGCCCTCATTTCTATAGACGCCACTTTACATGCCTACACATGTACATACTTTTAGTATATGCTGTGCTAGTGTGTGTGTGTATGTGTGTGTGGTTGGAATGGCTAGCCATTTATTATAACTTTGCATGTAGGTCGTCAACATTGCCGCCGCCAAGTGGACAAGGCAAATAACTTTCATACATTCCGTCAGTGACGGGCATCTTACTGCTATTTGTACATATATACAGACACATGTATGTGCATTTGTGTGTAAATGATGTGGAAATAATGTTGGCAACACTGCAGTCAATTGCATCATCACCGCCATCCGAAGCAACAATGGCGAGTCTGTGTGTTGCAATGGCAGAGTGAAAAAATTAGTACTTAATCTAGATAAATGTGTGTGTAGCTACTGCAGTAAGCAAATAAATCGCTCTGTATGAAGATGTATGTATGTGTATGTGGGTGTCTGGGCCTAGCATCAACAAATGGGAAGAGCGCAATATAAATGGTGCAATTCTGATGAAAGAAAGATAAAAAACGAAAAAGTATTTCGAAAAGACTTTGGATTTTATATATGCGATAACTGTAAAATACTAAATAAAAAAATTTAAATTTGGTTATAAATTTTTATCTTTTTTTTAATCTCTAACTAACAGTAATATTTTGTTATTTAAGGGTGTGGCAGTATAGGAAACAACAAAACTTAAAGTTAATTTCGGGATTTTGAAACGACATAAATTCAAATTTTAATTTAACAATTTTTTAATATTATATTAAGATTTATATAATTTGTTTATTGATCATTTCGATTTGATTATTAAAAACAAATTTTACTTTCCTTTAAAACATTGAGGCAAAAAAAGACTTCTTATCTAAGTAATAAA